ATGTATATCATGTTTATACGTTTCCTTTGGAAGTAAAGACTAATATTTAGACACAGAATAAAAATATTCTTAAAACAATAAGTTTAATAGTATGTGGGATGCATTATTTCGTAAACCATCAAATAGCTATTCTGGTGCAGCGTCCGCCTGGAGTCAGCTCGTCAGGAAGGTAATTACAACACGTGCTGGATCCACTGGAGAACTTCGATAATGGCCTCTACTAATTGGGAATTGTATAGAGCGAGTAATACCATATTTGAATATTTTAACGTACAATTACATTTTTACAATTTTCATCCTTTTTTCTTGATTCTTACCTCCATGCTATATCGATATATTACAGTTGATAAAAACGAGGCTTATAGTCTGCTCTGATGCCTGATAAAAATTCAGCGTACAATAAGTACCAGCAACACTAGATCACAAGTGATGGTTATTGATCATTAACTATTTAATTGTGCCCTCGAGCCCCGAGGAGAATAAAGATTTCATGCAGTCATGATCTCATATACACTTGCAATCAATCGGTCAGAGATATCTATCCATACCAACATTTTCTTTTACAAGGCTGCTTTTAACAACATGTAGTGGTCTTATCACCTCTATATTCTTCCGGACATGTTCCTCTCTCCATCGACCACCTATAGCTCTGAGCTGTATATAATTTTTCAACAAGTTCTAACTAATTAGAACTCTGCAGCTCGCGGCGCCGGCCAATTATTCTTAGTTTAAACCTCCAAAGGCGAGATGCCGATAACTTGGAAGATTTTCCACTATTTTTTAATTCCACAACAGACAGATAAAACTTGATCCAACTAAAGTTTAGTACAAGTGTATAGCCTATCCTTTTCACTCTTGTTATATTTCTTTATTGCTATCCTGCTTCTGCATGGGAATTGCTGCCTTCAGAGAGGTCATGTTATGTTGGTTGTGCCGCCATTCCATTCAGCTACGTACTTAGTTTTAATAACTTTTTCTAAGAATATTTGCTTTTAAATAATGCTTTATTTCCATGAGGAAAGAAAGTTATACATTATGTCTGCCACTGATATAGTGGTGCTGGATTTATGTATTGATATGTTTCTTTTTATTTTCATAAATTTATATCTGGTCTGGTTTGTAACAAGCGCTCTTATAGACTTCCAAGACGTCCTTTTCTTTGAGTTAAATTTACAATATTTTCTATAATTTAATTTAAAAAAGTAAAGAATGAAGTTTAAGTTTACGTCCAATACCAATACTCATTTTTGTATAAAAAACAAAAAAGACTTACCAATAAAAAAAAGCCTATAAAATCCACTCCGAGCTTAGTGCTAGATTTTCATTCAAACAACGCAATACTCGTTCCTAGACTGAAAACACATGAAACTTTCATGTACGTATGTAGTATTTGTAAACCTTTCAGCAAGGCAAACAAACTAGAGATTTATTCTGCGATCCCAGAACGAGAGTATACCATTGATTCACAATGAGATTTGAAGTGATTCAAAATAATGGGTTTTCTAAAACATTTTTATTTTTAACTTTTTGTGATATTGTAATAAAAGGATGTATTATTCGAATACTACTTTGCGTTTCTGGGACAATCATCCAATGACTTCTCCGCCTTGGGTAAGGCTAGAAGGAATGTCATACTCTTACCAACTAAAAACCCCGCGTTTCTACTCCTATTTTGAGCCGGAGCACTGGCAACTCGCTAGGCCATCTGCAGCTCCAGGTCGAATAACGAATATTTGTATCTTGCTTATAAATAATGGAAATTGCCCATGAATCGATAACGTTGCGTCCACCTATAGTCATTTGTAGGATACATGCATTCGTCAAATTAGAGTTAGACTTCATATGTCTGTTGCAATGGCATTGTTTGTTGTCGCAGCGGCGTTTTCTATATTTTAATGGCATACCCCCTTAGAGCCTTGCGTCGTCGCGCGTGCCGTTCCAACGAATTAACAAACAGACAAAGCGAGAAGAAGAGTGATGCTGCGTCGACAGACAGTCAAGTTGTATCTGACTTGCAACACATAATTACAATGCGTTTTCCGTTGCGACGACGCGACGCAATGCAGCGCAACAGATAAGTGAGGCCTCGATCTTACGCATCGGGGGCAATAGGCCTTAATCAATAATGCACTCCTTTTCTAACAAATGATCGTAATTTACACTATTTTCAAAATGTTGTTAAACAGGACAAGACTTGGTGATAATATTATCTTATATTAGAATAATATTTATCCTTAAACAAAAGTGATATATAATCACCGTGAACAATCGATTAATACATAATAGTGATATCGTGGCTACACCACACAGCCTCTCTAATGAAAATACATTGCATTTGATTATTTTCCACGTACACACATCAAACTTAGTCTTTAATCGAAATGCACGCTGGTTTAACGCTGATTGCAATTTCTGTGAGTGATAAAACGTTTCTTATTTTGTGTTTTGTTTTTGTTACTATTTTTCTTATCTTGCTAGAATTCTTTTTACCGAATATTACCGAAAAATTGTCATCATCATCATCTTCAGCCCATGACCATCCGTGGACGTGACGGCCCCTTCAGTGAATTTGATTTTCAGTTGTTTATATACGACCACTACCTGGATATTTTTATTTCTCCTACCTGAAGGACATCTCACACTACGTTTCTTCGACTCTAATTCAAATCATGTTTCATTTTCGGTCCTTGTCAGCTGACAAATTCTTTGAGCTATCTGATATATAGTCATGAAATTAAAACGATTCTATAGATTCTTGCTAAATAAATTACAGTAGTGCTTCTTGAGTTATTTCCATACATGTCTAGAAGTAACAGGGGTTTAATTATCGGTCTTTAAAAACAGTTATTTAACCACACTTGAAGTTATCTGAAACCTGAATAAAATTAAACATTATTGATTATAGTAATGAAGATGTTTTTTTTCTTCTTCTCTCATAATACGTATCTTCTGATTTATTTTGTTGCGGGATCCAAGACTGTTATTCATGTCCCTAGTACGCGCCGGACTTCAGTGTTCCGGTGTTTTCATGGTTGTGTCTACTATAGATCCTGGCTTATAGGAGTTGCAGTGGTTTTGGGGGTTGTGGCCGGCTTGTCTCATAAAACATTCTTCAATACCACAAGGATTATCAACAAAATGAAATGGTTAATGAATTGTGAAATAAAGGAGTATATAACGTATGTATTTTCATAAGGAGTTTAAACTTAATGAATTAAGATCAATAATGTTGTTTCAGTTAATCACAATAGTCAATGCAAGAGCTCTAGATGAAGACATGCTATTATATTGGAGAAAAAGTAAGTTATTTTCTTAATAATAATTGGCTTCTGTCAGCGGCTTCACCCGCGTTCCTGGGGGTAAAAAGACTATGTCTTACTCTAGACCATAATCTCCTCTTCCAAATTTCATCCCGGTCCCTTCAGCCGTTTCGATTTTATTTTTCATGGCATAAGCCGGTAAACGAACAGACGGATCACGGCGTCGCCCATAGACACCTGGAACACCAGAGGCGTTACAAGTGCGTTACTGGCCTTTTGGGAATTAGGAGTTTGAAGATCGTTGGGGATTCAGGGATTGGGGAGATTGGGGAAGGGGAGGGTAATTGGGCCTCTGGTATCCTCACTCATACGACGAAACACAACGTAAATGTTGCTTTACGTCCGTTTTCTGTGAGGCCGTGGCATAACTCTCCTATACTTAAATTACGTTATGTTATGTTTAGTTTGCATGGCCATAAATGTTAACCTGTTAGTTCTTTCAAGTGATTTTAATGTTATTCTTATTTCTTATTTACAGGCGACGCTGGGAAATGCAAACCTTTCACATCCTTCTTCATGGGCTGCAATAAATGCGTCTGCAGCGCTGACGGGACGTCTTTCTGCACTAGAATGGCTTGTTTTAAAGCTACGAATCGATTATCTGGTAAGATTACGTAGATTTTATAATAACATTTCACCCCTGTCTCTTGGAAAGCAGGTAAAGCCGTAGATACTATGCCTAATCTCTCTTAAGAGAGTGAGGGAACAGAGAATGCACTTGTATTCGCGCACACACTTGTGCCCTATAATATCTCCATCTCTTGCGTATTGGGCTAGTCTAATTAGACTTCATCAAAATTGAATCAAAAGCTGATTAAAAAACTATATACTTACCAGTGACTAGCGTGATTAACGTGATCTTTTTAAACAGCGAATTCCAACCCGCCTGCCAAACGTGAAGATAATGCGAACCCCTCTCATTTAGAGAAAAGCCACTTTTATTCCGGCAGTGGGATCGACGGTGGGTTCCATACTTAAGGGCTATTGATGTAATATGTTATTAGAGAAAGGTGGGGATTGAAAGACGATGTAGTGACAAAGATTGATAAGGGAAGGACATGTAGAAAGAATGGATGAAAGCAGATTTACGAAAGAAGTTTACAGAGTGGGTATGAACGGGACTTGCGGTAAAAGGCGCCCTAGATGGACATATATCGAATAGATTTGCGATAAATTAAAGAAGAGCCAAATTAGAATGACCCTTAACTGACGAGCATGAAAAGACGAATTGAGAAAGCGAAATAGGCATGTAAGAATCGTAGCAATTGGCGTTCCATTGTCGGCAGCCAACCTTCATCGTGAGGTGTTGTTTAGATGTATGTATGAATGATGTATGATTCTAAATGTATGTTGGTTAATTAGTTAAACCTTCTATTTAAACCTGTAAAACAACTAGCTGATAAAATGGCCACAAAATAAGCATAACTGTCTAAAATATTTTAGCATAAAAGTATAAATTGCTGATGAAATTATTTATTAGTAATAGTAGGTACAAACTAGAAAATTATTTCAAGCTTATAATTAGATTTATTACAATTTGGTGATCAAACGATGCAATGAAATCATTAACTACTAATAGCTATTTCATATATAAAATTTATTCTAAAATAATTCGTTATTACAGAGGAATCAATTGAAAATGAAATGGACACTCTAAAACAACCATCCGTAGAAAAGCTAGGGGCCACATCACATCAGAAAGAAAAAGGGAACTCTGTTTAGAACCAGCCAATACCATCTTCACTGTCTCCACATTAGCTTGTCAAGGCTCACTGATGAAAGCGCTCAACTAAGAAGACTACTATTTAATAAATGTTTAATTATTATTTAAAGTAGTTTAATTTAAACGTGTTTTGTTTTATTTTTTACATATTTTAACATAACATCACACCCTTTGACCCCGAAGGGATAGGCAGAGGTGCACATCACGGTAATTAATTCCACTGTGCACTGTAACATCCACTAGTCACTATTTATGTTTCGAGTTCCATGTAATAGGGGATAAACTTATTGTCATATATCGGGCATAATGCCAGACTGCGTGCTACTACTGAGATTTTTTTTAAATTTTGTAATATATTGCCCGACCCGGGAATCGAACCCGACACCCCTCGGCCAGCAGTCGCACATAGGCCTCCCCCAATGACTTCCAGTGACAAGGTATACAGTGTTCTTATAATAGTTTTAGCCTCTCTTATTCTGTCCACAAATAGGGCGTCCATAACATTTAAATGAAAGTCATAATAATTATTAAAATCGTAAAAGAAGTGGAAACATTAATTACAAAAGGTAATCATGAAAGAATAACAAATAACGTATCTGTTACTTTTGATATTGCACGGTCGACGGTTGGAGCGGTGGTTGGGCAACTGACTGCCGCGCAACTAGTCGCGGGCTCGATTCCCGCACGGAACAACTCTTTGTGTAATCCACAGACTGTTGTTCCGGGTCTGGGTGTCATGTGTATGTGAACTTCTATGTTTGTAAACGCACCCACGACACTGGAGTAAACCATAGTGTGGGGCAACGATTTAAAAAAAACATCTCTAAAATAGTAAACAGTTCCTGTGCAGTTCAAAGAAAACTAAAATTTCAAATTCAATAACTAAAGTTCAAATTCGAAGAAAACTAAATTCTTGATTAAACTCTCCAGTCTTGCGAGGTACAGAATTCAGTGAGCAAGCAAAGCAAGGTTATATAAAACCTTGCTAAAAATAAACTAGTTGACAGCAGGTACTATAGTGAAACAAGTGAACAACAAGCAATAATTGCAAAAAAGACAGCAAAAGAATGAAAAATGCACATAAATATCTAATGTTTCAAAATTTTGCTCATATATGTACGTATAGCGTAAATATATTATAAGCCGCACGACCACGACTGCTTCAATCTAATCGTACAAAAATAAACAGTCTCTTATCATGAGGATATACTGCCGGCTATATATATTAAAACGAAACTGCCAGCTCTCAGTTACATAATAAAGATCAGAATGGCACCACCAAATTTTGAAGGTGACTTTCAGGAGTTATCCGAAAATCAACTGGAATTTATCAAAACAGTTATTGAAGAACAAGGATTCCAAAACTACAAAGTAACAATTAAAGCTGCAGGCGCTGCTGGTGACAATTACACAGCGAACGTGAAAAGAATAACTGTAGAAGGAGAAAATGGAACGCTGTCGATGATCGGCAAAATAGCCCCAACCAATGAGATGATCAGAAAACGTATGGGATCACAAATAAGCTTCGGTAATGAGTGTATTATTTACTCAGAATTCCTACCAAAGTTGAGGGAGCTACAAACGAAAATTGACACACCTGAAGAAGACCTGTACAAATTTCCAAAATGTTATGGAGCAAACTCTGAAGGACCCAATGAAGTTATCCTGATAGAAGACCTTAAGTCCAGTGATTACAATATGTTGGACAGACTAAAGCCAATTTCAGATGAATGTATGAGAAGTGTGCTAAAAAATTTGGCCATCTACCACTCACTCTCTTATGTTTTAAAAAACAAAGAACCTGATACTTTCAACTATTTTAAGGATAGTTTAAAAGACATGTGGGGAGCTATGCTTGAGTTTCCTCCAGAAGAATTGGGTCTTTTCTTTCAACTTGAAGAATTTGCTATTGGAGTGCTGGATAATCCAGAGCACAAAAGCCTTTTAAAAAACAAAGTAGCTGAGGCAATTAAAAGTGCTGCTAAGATGGTGAAATTCGAAGCTGGAAGCCGATTTTCAGTCATTCAACATGGCGATGCTTGGGTGAACAATATCATGTTTAAATTTGAGGTATGTTGAATTTAATAAGTAATTGTTGTACTAGTAGCAAACCAAAAGAAATAATTGATACTAAATGGTCCTTAAGATTAGTTTAACCAGTCGATTATAATGTTTTAAACGTTAAATAACTTACCTTGGTAACAATAATATTTATTAATAGCTGTTGCTCGCGACTTCATCCGCGTGGAATATATAAATTTTAGGACGTCACGATTTTTTGTTTCAATTTTCCAAGATTAAAGTAGCATGATTATGTTAGTCTTTGGTACATTAGCTACCTGCCAATAAAAATCTCGTCAAAAGCGGCCCAGCCATTCCAGAGTTTAGCTAGCACAAACAAAGGGATAGACTAACAAAAATTGAAAAAAAAATATTTTAACATATGTATTGTGCGTATATTCTATCTATATACGTGTAGTAAAGAGCGGTTATTTTAATATTACAATCAGTCACTGTAATTTTATTTATCTGTATAGATTATTAATACAGCGCAGTATGACAGCTATTACGAAATGCGCTTGAACACGGATCTGATAATGTTATCTGGGCCGAGTTCCGTGTGGCACTTAGACTGTTTTGTTAGAACCGTACATGACCTGAAATTAATGTTTACCTCTTTTAATACCTTATTTATCAAGTCCATTACTTGAGCAATTGTAATTAAATCTAGCATCATCTCCTAGCTGGAGCAAAATATCATCATCTTCATCATCAGCCAGTCCCTTTTTTTTTGAGGGGGGAAATCATCCAGTGACTTCTCCAGACTAAGAATCATCCTGTTCCTACGCCTGCTCTTCGAGCCGGAGTCCCAGCGACCCATTAGGCCCTCGCGGCCCATCAGCCTGTTTGTGGACGTAGGCCTCTTCAATATAGCAAAGCCTCATTGCATTATTTTTATTTGTCAATGGACTTTTTGGTCTCCCTTTAGGACTTAACTGGTCATTTCATCTTAATACTGCAACTTTACTACGTTACCTTGAGAATTTAATGTAATATTATATTATGTTATTTTTGGTCAAGACCCAAGCGGTCACCGGTGACCTCTCCACTCATTGCATTATAGACCTTATTTCATATGTTTAGAGACTATTTTTTATGAACAAAATTAGGGGTATTTCGGTGCAATATCTCAATTGATTCTAGTGGTTAACAGGCTTTTGTTTTTTGTTTCCAGGGTGAGAGTGTAAAGGACTCGATACTAATTGATTACCAACAGTCCAAGAACTCCTGTCCAGTATACGACCTCCTCTACGTGATCATCAACTGCACAGACCACGAATCTAGGGTCAAAAACTTCTACAACTGGTTGGACTATTACCATGCAGAATTAGACAAATCTTTATCGAATTATGGTCTGAAAGCCAACTATGTGTACCCAAGAGACCAACTAGATGCTGATCTGAAACGATATGGTAAACTCACATTTGGATGCTGTATACTCTTTACAAGTGTATTAACAGCAAATTCTGAAGAGGCTACGAAGATGAAAGAAAGTGTTGATGCCCAAGGTTTTAATGAAGTAGCCGGATCTATGGACATTTTCCAAAGTGAGACCACAGGTCGGATGAAGAAACGAATCACTGATGTTATTGAAAGTTTTCTTGCTTTTGGTCTAATTTAATTTATATTAAGTTTTATATTATTATAATATTGGTTTTTTATCGTAATTTCTATGATATACGTAGTTAACGTAGTAAAATGTGGAAATAATTGAGATTGTGAAAACTATTTATGTTCGGAACGAAACAAGAATTTATTTAATTTTGCTGCTTGCGTTATCAGGTATGACCTGCTATTTACTGAGTTCCAAACATATTTAACAATTTATTAAAGCTGTAAGAGCTGCCATGAACATTATTTTGTAGAGAGAATACTTTGTCTAGCTAGACAATTATAAAAGATTGAAGAATATAAAATTATATGTTCATACTTTAGATTTCTATAAAATGGAAATTGGCTAAAACCAAGACATATAATTGTAGCAAATTATAAAAATACTACCACATATTATCGTCATTTTAGATGTCCTAAGAATCTAAAGTAAAATACAATCTTTTAGTTAGACAAATATTTATTATTATCCCATATTATCCCGAACGCAGAGGTGCACATTACGGCACTTAATGCCACTGTATAATGTAACATCCACTTTACATTATTTATGTATTTTTTTGTATACTTAATTTTGTACTAATTATTGATTAATATTTTCAAATGTTTTGTATTTAGTTCATAAAAAGATAATGGAACTGTTGCTATTTTTGTATTGTATGTATAAATATATAGTTAATATATATAGTTTTCAATAATAATTACAACAAGTCATAGGGGCTGTTTAATGGTCATCGTGCACACATATCCTAAAATTAACAAAGTTCCACACATACTACCGTTACCGGTGTAGAAATATAAAATTGTATTAACAGTATTAATTTACGTCTAATTAAAGAACAATTATATTGAAATAGGCTCACCCCCATGGGACTCATAACATAAATAATTAAAAGTGGGTGTCACATTGTACAGTGGCATTAAATGATGTGATGTGCACTTCTGCCTACCCCTTCTGGAATAAAAAGGCGTAATGTTGTGTTATGTTATGAAAAATTTGATTGAATAAACAGAGGTTCTGGCGATAGATTGGTACAATGGTGTCATGCACCTGATTTTGTACCCTTGTGTACCATTCAGCGGCCAAGTATATCCCCAAGCGGTCACCGGCCACCGCTCTCCACTAACTACATTATAGACCTTATTTCCAATGTTTAGAGACCACTTTTGTATCAACAAATTTAGGGGATGATTTTCGATTAGAAGGAACCTTGACTTGGCACGACTTTTTCTAGATTTCATTACTTTTTAGAGATGAATGATCGGCTCCATTGAGACTTAGCTAGTATATGGAATGTTTTTAGTTTGGATTTGCTTTTTCATAATTGTGAAACGAATTAATACGCAAGTATGCTAATAGATGGCACCACGCGCTCTGTTATTTATTTAGTAATAGAAGTTTTTAGAAAATTGAGAACGGTTTTATAAAGTGATACAGAAGCTCATTACAGCATCGACACGATGAATTTGAGTGGGTTCGAGCTGCACTCTTTTAAGTTTTTCAAATTTCTCAATTCGTGTTATGTATCACACCAGATAGAGACTTGTACGTATAGTGAAAAAATAGTATTCTTGTCAGACACAGTCAACAGAGAAGCTTTATATAAAGTTGAAGTCAAAATCATTTATTATACAATTAGACCATAAAAGCACTTTTGAACGTTAAAAAAATTGCTCAAAATAGTTGCTCATTCCAAGGTGCAGAAGGTCTAGGTCCTATGGAGAAGAACGAGCAAAAAATTCTATAGAATATTCTTTTTCAATAGGTTCACAATACAATTCTGTAATTAAACAAGGTGTAGTTTTGAAGCCGTGTCATTTCTCGGGAGTATGTCACAAAAGTCATAAAGGTTCAATGTAAGAGAAAATTTTGGGCCAATAGTTAAAAATACGGCTATTATTAAATCGTTTAAGTTCGACAGTATTTCAGAAAAAGCGACAGCAATGTTTCTTATTGGAGTTTTATGGAATTAGGATTAGTTAATATCAATTACGTGTTTGAGTTTGTGTGTGTTAAGCCGCGTCATAAAGCTAGTTACAAGACGGCGGCGTGTACTTCAGACTTACGGATTTCCGTAATTTCAGAAAAATGAAAAATATTTACCTGCAATTTTTTTTATTGATTCGGACTCAGAATCGATAGCCGAGTTACCTAGAAGAAGACGTGGGAACAATGTAACACCAAAATCCAGTTTACTTGAAAGTGAAAACTTGAAGGCCGAGTAATCTAAGTATTCAATCAATTTATTATAATTAATTAGGTTAAATATTGCCATCCAACGTGGCAATGCTGCCAGCCTTCGGGGCAACTTTTTTTTTTTTTTTTAAGTGGGGAAAATCATCGAATGACTGCTCCCGCCTGGGTGAGGCGGGAGGGGAGTGTCAGACTCTTACTGACTAAAAACCACCCCGTTCCTTCTCCTGCACGTCGAGTCGGAGCCCCGGTTACCCGTTAGGTTCTCCGCGACTCCGAATCGGCATCGGCCGAATTAGGCCCCATCTGTGGTGGTCTGATGGCTCTTTGAGGCGCGCGCGGAACGCGACGCGCCGTACGCTCGGGTCTGTTTCTGGTCGGACGGGGAGCCACCCATGCTCGCCGTCCGCAGGCCCGCGCTTACGGTGGCCGGAGATCGTATTATTTAACGCCTATGATAGTCACATTAATTATTTTTTTTAACTATTGGATTTGCAATAATAAATATTCGCATGAATTTACCTTTTTAATATCCTTTTTCGTCGTCCTTTAACATCTTGTATGAGAAAAATCCTTTGCCTCACAGATGAATAGTTTCAAAGCGTTGCATACTTTTATAGAGGTAAAATCCAAACTACTGCAAGATTGAATAATTTGAATTCCAAAATATATTTTTGTGAATAAGCGCGGGAGGTATAATTTAATTAATGTTGTTTGCGGTATTTCCCAAGTATGTGTATTGCTATGTAATATATAGATATTCAATCTTTAATATCGATATAATAAATGTGTAAGTGTGTTTGTTTGTCATTCTTGTGAATTTATGAGTAGGTAGGTATATACCTCTCAATTATTCATACCTAAAGTTACTTACTCAAAGTCAGTAAAGTCAATAGTCAGTAAGAGTCTGATACTCCTTCCTGCCTCACCCATGGATGAGCAGTCATTCGATGATTTTTCCTCCTTAAAAAAGAGGTACTCAAAAATGCTGCAAATGCTGTAAAATAGCATTATTTATATGCGTTCTATTGAGCATGCTCAATAAAGTTCAAAAATCGAACGCCTGTCGGTTCGAAAACATGCCTGCACAAAAATGCCATTTAGCGCTTGTCAACTTATAGAGTCGAAAACTAAATTATATTGAATTGACGTAATTTTGAGACTTGTCAGTGTCATCCCCATACATTTAGTTTGCTATTCTCTCTGCAGACATGCGCTAAAGTGGCGTTTGGCTAAAGGCACTGGAATGAGCATGTCAATTTTGAGCAACAATCCGACACATGCTACTAAGTGGCAAGTGATCAATTGAAGCATACTTTCGTTCTTGGAATTAGCATGTGTAACAGTACTTTAACATTAACCAAGTAGTAGGTATATGTACTTTTTTTAAAATTCTCAGTAGTAGCACGGAGTATGGAATTGTGCCCGGTATATGGCAATAGGCTCACCCCCTATTACATGGGTTTCATAACATAAATAGTGACAAGTGGGTGTTACATTGTACAGTGGCATAATGTGCACCGCTGCCTGCTCCTTCAGGAATAAAAGGCGTGATGGTATGTTATGTATATGTACTTAAATAATGTAAATGGATGCATTGAAAATAAACATAACAGCACGATATTGTACTAAAAAGACTTGTTGCTATTGTGTCTTTTTATTTGTTTTATTGATATTATATAGAAATACATACAGAAAAACGACGTGAAACAATGCTTGCGTTGTGTTTCATCGTGTGAGGTAACCAGAGGCCCAATAATCCCCCCCTTCCCCAGTCTCTTCAAGCCCCGAATCCCCCACAATCCATAAATTCCCAATTCTCAAAAGGCCGGTAATGCACTTGTATCGCTTTTGGTGTTTCAGGTCTATAAGCGGCGAATTGCTTACCATCAGGTGATCTGTCAGCTCGTTTACCGACTTATCCCATAAAAAATCCTCCTTATCCCATTACCCTATAAAAACTATCCCATAAAACTTATCCCATACAAAAGGGCTCCGGCTCGAAGTGCAGGAGTAGGAACAGTGTGGTTTTTAGTCAATAAGAGTCTGATACTCCCTCCTGCCTCACCGAGGCGAGAGCAGACATTCGATGATATTCCCCCCTTAAAAAAAAAAACACCATAAAAAAAGATCACCCTAACACATCAACTTTTCCTGCGAATTAAGTTAACGACAATTAGGAAATGACACATTACAGTGATCTGGGCAGTAGTCCTTTTCTGATGGAACTGGTCATTTTGAACTAGTTACGATCTCCCAAATTCGCCTGCCATCCATGGAGATTATAGTATATCATCTAATAGAGTGGTAGGACTGGTGGGTCCTACTCCAGTCGTGAAGTGGTATGGACGATGTTGATGATATGTTGATGAATTTCAAACCTTTGGATTTTGTGGTAGGATTCAAATATTTGCCAAAGACCTATTTTGCTAAACATTTATTTTGTAACTTAGTAAATTTGTAACAATTGATAATTTAAAGTTTTTTTAATTCAATACATTGGACGAGTAAAGTTACAGTATATGAACATATAGCGATCTGGAATTTTATTTGTCACACCAGGTAACAGATTTTATTAATCAGTTGATTATTATTTAACAATTAGGTAAATTTTTGATGACTCATTTACTTATTTAATTCTATTGGTGATGACTTATGATGACTATGTTGCCTTATATTTTTGAATAGGGGTGTCACTTCCAAATATTGTCTTCCAATTTTAATATACATAAATTATAAATATATATTATAAAATTGTTCATCATTGGCGCAGCTTTTTTAAAAGGGGAAAATCGTTCAATGGCTACTTCCACCTTGGGTTCGAGGGAGAGGGAGTGTTAGACCATGTCGTTCTTATTCCTGCTTCGAGCCTGAACTTCGGTAATCCGTTAAGTTCGGCAGTTCCGGGTTGGGTTGATATATAATACCCGACCGAGACTAGGTACCACTACTACCACTGGTGTGGCCTTGGGCTGATGCCCTACTGCGCTACATCTGTGGTAGTCTTGATGCTCGCAGAGAGCGCGACGCGCCGTACGCCTAACTCAGCTTTCTGCTTTAGGAATTTCATAACAAAACTAGATAGATATAGAGATAACTCATAACAGAACTAGATACATTATTTTGATTGTTTAGTTTCTTTCAGTTCCTGTTATAAATCTTATTTTGATGTCAAAATCAACGTCGTTACTTCAATAAGACAACATAAAAACATTTTTTGAAACGTCATAAATAGGAAAGTCAGTGAAAATAAATAGATGCGCTTAGTTTAACTCGTCGAGTACCGGTTTTGTAGACACAATTATAGAACAATAGGTTGCGGTCACCGGTGACCGCTTGGTGTTTGACAGTTTAAAAATCCATAATTGTAAACAGACTGACAGCGCACACCCCTGAATTTGTTACCTAATTAAATTGTATCATTACAGTATGTGTTCATTTTTGTTTTGATTAGAGATATTTGAATCATTACTGATAAAGTACTACCCGATAATCAGGCTAACATTAGATAAACGGGCGCTTAAATAAGTATGACAGTGTAGTACTATCAACAGTAAAAAAAGTCAGATCACCATGTCACAATTAAATATCGAAGGTGATTTCCAAGACATATCTGGTCCTCAATTAGAGTTCATTAAAAAAGTGGTCGAGGAAAATGGATTTAAAGACAGTAAAGTGACCATTAAAAACTTTGCCGAAGTGGGTGATAATTATGGAGCGAGCGTCAAAAGAGTTATCGTAGAAGGAGAAAATGGTACTCTGTCGATGATTGCCAAAATAGCACCAACTACGGAGTTCCTTCGGACCCGTGCCAACACTCATGTCACGTTTGGCAACGAACATTTGATGTACACCAAATTTCTACCGAAGTTGATAGAATTCCAGAAGAAAGAAGAAGTACCAGAAGACGAACTATTCAAATTTCCAAAATGTTATGGTTCAAACCCAGAAGCACCTAATGAAGTTATCTTATTAGAAGATCTCAAATGTAAAGATTATGTTATGAAGGACAGAATGCAGTCACTTTCTGATGAATGCGTGACTGACATACTGAAGAGTTTAGCCGTTTTCCATTCTTTTTCTTATGTTTTGAAACATAAAGAACCTGATACTTATAATTTTTTCAAGGACAATTTAAAAGACTTTATGGCAGCATTGGCAAATTCACCAGACATGGATAATTTCGAAGTGCTCGAAAACTTTGTGATTGAAATTCTCGAGGATCCAGAACATAAAAATATTATAAAAAACAAATTATCCCAGATTCCTCAGGCAGCTGCTAAAATTGCGAAATTGGAATGTGACAGTCGATATGCAGTTATTCTACATGGTGATGCGTGGACAAACAATATTATGTTCAGGTTTGAAGTAAGTATTTCTTTTTAATTTCAATTTCATTAGAATTAAAGTGAAGGTTTTACTTATAAAAATCTCAAAATTATAAACGCGATAGTACATTTCCATGTACATTCGTACAACGTTCCAAAATACCTTTTCTGTGTGACTAAGACTAAATTATAGTAGGTAATAACAAAATGACTAATAAATATAATCGATGCATTAAACGTGTATTATTAAACATTAATCTTATCATGGCGAGAAACAGTCACACGCGCGTTTGATAAAAAGGTACAAATTGAACACTTTACTTCAATTCAGATTATTGTAGGTAGCATTTATTCATACATATATTAAATCATACATCACCTGTTTGACAGTCCGTTTTCCACAATGCATATTTTTTTTAAATTCTCCACTCAATCTAAAATACCCCGGAATCGAAGAGGTAAAATAGTCATGGCTATCCCAAAATTATTTGAGTATTGTCAGACAGCAATGTAAATATTTCTGCAATTTCAGTATACTTTTATTACCTTTCATTAATACCATCCATTTTCTATTTTCAGGGTGAGACCTTAAAAAACTCAATGTTGATAGATTACCAGCTATCAAAGAACGCCAGTCCAGCATATGATCTTCTCTACGTGCTCTTCAACTGCACCGAGTATGAGACCAGACACAAAAACTTCTACAACTGGTTGGATTGTTACTATACACAGCTAGAGAAAAGTTTGTCCAACTTTGGCCTCAAAGCCAACTATGTCTACCCAAGAGATAAATTAGATGCTGATCTGATGAGATATGGTAAAATGATGTTTGGATGGTGTATAGTTCTATGTTCTATACTTACTGTTAAGCCAGAAGAAGCTGCGAAGATCAAAGAATCCATGGAGGCAGAAGTGCCTGTCGAAGTCACTGATGCTGCAGATTTCTTCCAAGCTGATACAACTGTCCGACTTAAAACCAGAGTCACAGGCCTTATTAAGAGTTTTGTAGAATATGGTTTATTTATTTAAAGACAGAAATCAAAATGCGTCAGAACTTATCACGGATTTTAATGGAGACAAAGAGATTCGTTCTCTTTTAATGTAAAATTTTATTAATTAATTTTAGAATGTGCATAAAAGTATTAATTTAATTCGTTAGTAAAGATATTATAATGAAATCTCGAACCAGTGTTACTTTCTTTATATTATCCTTTTCGTTTACTATCTGTTCGAAGAACTCAAAACCAAAAAGGATTTTAAATAATTACTTATTTATGCTAAGACTCAACTAAAGAAAACACATGCGTTAAATTGTGTAAGAAAACTTTTGCTTTTTTGGGCAGTTGCTTGGGTGTTGTAGTTACTACACCCAAGTAAATTTTAAATATTATTGTTCAACATTATGTATGCAGAAAATAGGAGGACCTATTTTAAGGATAGGCCATCATTATCATCGTAACAGCCACAAGACATCCACTTCTGTACCTATGTACAGGCCTATGCTTATCCCAATTACTTCCTAATGGGCCGGTAGGAGTCAACCTGCATCCACCGGCTCCCTGCGACCTTAATCAGGTTGTCTATTTGCGGGTAGACTTTTCGCACTGTGCTTGCCGGTACGTGGTCTTGAGAACCTTTTTGTCTCAGTAACCTCGGTTATTTAAGCTACGTGGCCCGTTCACTGCCACATCAGGCTTCTAATTCGCTGGGCTTTTTTTTTAAGGGGGAAAATCATCGAATAACTGCTCCCACCTGGGTGAGGCGAGAGGGAGTGTCAGACTCTTACTGACTAAAAACCACCCCGTTCCTTCTCCTGCACGTCCAGCCGGAGCCCCGGTAACCCGTTAGGTTCTCCACGACAGAACCTAACTACACTGCCACATCAGGTCTTCTAATTTGCTGGGCTATGTCGGCCACTTTCGTTCGCTTGGGCGCGCATTTTTAATTGGATCTCGCAAAGTAACTCCGAGTATATCCCTTGTAGATCTCCTCATTTCTGATTCGATCTCGCAAAGAAACTTCGAGTTTAGCCCTTCCTACGGTGTACTGAGTAGAGTAACCGTGAGAAGTATGGGTTGCCATACAGCTTCAAAGTAATGCTATCCATAAAATGGCTTTTTTTAATAGGGAAAATCATCGAATTACTTTCGTCCTACAAAACAAACAACAAAATGGCTAAGAGTGGTTGTTATGGAGTTTAAAAGAAAAAACGGGCCGTTGATAAAAAAATAAGCAGACCTTATAAAAGGTTAGAAGAACATAGGATTTAGGTAGAATGTTTGACCGAATCTAAAACACTTATCGTAAACAAAATAATAACATTATTTGTAGGTATTTTTCTTTATACAATTGATGAAGAATAGACAAAGAAAAAACATAACCATGGATTAGCTTTTAGTACTAAAATATAAATAAGCACCGAGAGATGGCGTTTGCGGCAAAAAATAATAGCAATGATAACTTGTTTTGTTTTATTTTGTCCTTGAAATATTTTATTTACTTATAAAATTCTGTGTAATTGTAGACTCATATTTGTAACTGATATATACATAGATATTTGTAACTTTAGTCGAATTTTTATTACAAAGTCCAAACTTATTGGATATTTCAGATAGCACTTCAATTAATATCTTCATGATAAAGATAATGAGAAATATTCAATAATTTACCTTATTGTTATGAATGTAAAAATTATGAGTCATATACCTGGCGCTATTTCTATTAAAAAAATCTCATGACTCATTGAAGATTCTCTAATCAGAGACTATATCTTTTCCAAAATAAGATGAATAACAATGTAAATTTTTAGAAAATTCAAAATTGATTTGAGGCTTCGATAGTATTCTATCTATTTTTTTTTTAGTTACATCTTCTGTAGTAAGTTGTCTCAGGAGTTGCATCAATAAAATATGTTTGATTCCATCTCGAGTGTGATTGGAGTTACATTGTTGTGCATGTACATACATAACACCCCATATCCTATCTCTTAAATAAAAATATTCAACTACATTTCATAGCATCACCCATGCTATCTTGCATAAGCATGCTATCAAGCATAGCAAGTATTCAATAAACGCGACAGCATTATTTAAATCAAATTAAATTCTTTAATTATCAAGTTCAATAAATAAGTATTATGTATATCTAATCATACAAAAAACAAACAGTCACCAAAGCTTATCTGCTAGATAAACTATTGCCTATATATTATAGCGGCGTACGCCAGCAACCGCTTTTAGTACTATCACTCTGATCATCATGGTTAACTTCGAAGGGGAGTTTCAAGACATAAACGAAGGTCAACTGCAATTCATAAAAAATGTAATTGAAGAAAAAGGTTTTAAAGACAGCAAAGTGGTCATTGCCCCCGCTGGAATAGCAGGTGATAACTATGCAGCAAATGTTAAAAGAATCAAAGTCGAAGGAGAAAATGGACAATTATCAATTATTGCCAAAATAGCTCCAACTAATGAAATGGTTCGGAAGCGTGTAAATGTCACCACCATGTTTGGCAATGAGCATTTAATTTACACAGAATTTCTGCCAAAACTGCTTCAGCTGCAGAAACAAGTTGGAACACCAGACGAAGACTTAGTGAAATTCCCAAAATGCTATGGAACTAATATTGAAGAACCCAACGAAGTAATTCTGCTTGAAGATCTGAAAGAATTAGGGTTCTCTATACAAGACAGATTTAACTCACTCTCTGATGAAAGTGTGAGTAGTGTATTGAAAAACTTAGCTATCTACCATTCTTTGTCTTACGTATTGAAAAGTAAAGAACCTGATACCTACAATTATTTCAAAGACAACTTAAAAGACATGTGGGGAGCAATGGCTGAACTACCTGAAGAAGAACTTGCTTATTTTAGCCAACTTGAAGAATTTATCATGCAAATGGTAGATGACCCAGAACATAAAAAACTTATAAAGAACAGAGTTGTTGAAATCGCACCACGAGCAGCTAAAATGTCGAAATTCGAAAATGGTAGCCGATTTGCAGTAATTCAACATGGTGATGCTTGGACAAACAATATCATGTTCAAATTTGATGTAAGTATTTTTTAATATTACAATTCGGAGCCAACAACTTGTTTTATCTACGGTTATTCTTTCTTACTCAAAATTTTACATAACTTCTGATTTCCTTCTGTAACCTATGAGTCATGTAAAAAAAATTCTCATGATAAGATTGGTGATCTCTGTCATATCAAGAGAAAGTAAAGATAAAATTCAATCTTATATTTTCTTTCAAGTGATTTGGATGTTTAAATTAGATTAATTTGTTTTGAATAGCAACTAAATTTTAAAATATCATGTCTGTTGCGACGTGCCAAAGGAAAATACCGTTGATAATAGTAATAATACATACTTACGAGAATATAATCGTAATAATGATATTAGACATTGATGATAACATAGTCAGATCGTTTGAGATTATTTAATCCGTGCTATCGGTCCCGTACGTGGCGTACGATTAGATAAGACTTTGATTAACATAGGTACCTATAATTACGTTCCCTTGGCATCAACAAGTCAATTATTTAAAAAACAACAAGTCATGTCAATGTAAGGCACGTAGAAAAAAATGGCTAAAGCAAAGTTTAAGATATATGCTCTTTCATTTGGCTTAATTTGAATCCTTTTTCTATTTCCAGGGGGAGACCTTAAAGGAGGCGATCTTAATAGACTACCAAGTTGCAAAGAACGCCAGCCCAGCAAACGACCTTCTTTACATGATCTTCAACTGCACTGATCATGAGACCAGGTTAAAGAACTTTTACAACTGGTTGGACTATTACCACTCAGAGTTAGACAAATCTTTGTCAAACTATGGTCTGAAGGCCAACTATCTCTACCCAAGGGATCAATTAGATGCAGATTTGAAGAGATACGGTAAACTGCAGTTTGGTTGCTCATTACTTTTGTGCAGTGTGCTGTCAGCCAAACCAGAGGAAGCAGCTAAATTTAAAGAGAGCATGCAGAATGAAAATATTGAGGAGGCAATGGATCCAATGATGAATTTGCAACTAGAAACAATGGAACGTATAAAAAAGAGAATCAATGGTGTCATTGAGAGCTACCTGGAATTTGGTTTGTTGTGATTACTACGTGAAGAATTACTATGCTATTTTATTTAATTTATATTATTAAACTTTATTAATATTACTATATTGTAACTTTCTTTCCTTTAAATGAACCCACATTGAACAAGTTTCAAGTCAGCTTTAGGCTGTTAATGTGATGTGACGTTTATGCTGTATCTCCGTCCTATCATTGTTTAGTCAAATGTTGTGGTGGGCCGGAGGTTTAAATCTACTTATCATGCTTGAGTGTGACTGGTTCCGAGTTATATGTATTTTCTAAGATGATTTGGACACCACTGACAAACGGTGAAGAAAAACATCTTGAGGAAACCCAAGCATACAATTTCTAATTAAAAGTTTAAATTGGCCAACCCGCATTGAGCAAATATGTCAATTAATGCGCAAACCGTCTCTATGTGAGAAAAGGCCATTGCTCGGCTGTGGCCACTTATAGACTGTTGATGATGTTAATGATTGTTTAGTCATCGAATCATCATATTATGACGATTAATTTCCCGTGGGGGATGGATCTGATCTGAATCTTACTGTGGAATGCGCTGCCCACGGATATCAGGACGGCCACCAGTCGGCTATCCTTTAAATTTATTTTTTTTTATTTTTATTTAAAAAGCTTTATGCACACAAACAAGCAATTTAAAGTCAGAGAATATCTTCAGAACAAACTGACACAATCAAGTGTACTGGGATACCTTCGATTCGATTCGACTGCACGGTTGGTGCGGTGGCTGGACAACCGGCTGCCGTGCAACGTGTCGCGGGTTCAATTCCCGCACGGAACAACACTTTGTGTGATCCACAAATTGTTGTTTCGGGTCTGGGGTCATTGTGTATGTGAACTTGTATGTTTGTAAACGCACCCACGACACAGGAGAAAATCCTATGTGGGGCAACGTTTTTTATAAAAAAAAACCTTTATATATAAGTACATTTATTACCCTCGTTTTCGCAAACTTCATTTTAAACTTACTGTAACATCTCTCTGCATCACCCTATCGTTGGCTGGAAGAGAATGCCATTCGGCATTAAGTCCACCTATGTAAAAATTTGTATAAATTTTGAAAATATTAACAAAACACTCAAATAGTGTGTACGTTTGTGAACACGTATTGATTAATTGGTTTGTATACAAAACTATGGATCAAGAGGACTCGGTTTCGTTTGAATCTAGCAAAGAGTACACTCTTTGTCAATTTAAATTATTATTGGTGATTCACTAGATGGCGTTACTTACTCAAATTGAGAACTATACATCCTTTTCTTCTTGTCGTAAAATACTTTCGATTATTACAAACATTATTGTAGACATTTATTGCATACAAACTTCTACAATCCTTTCGTGGTATCCTTTCGCATTGATGTGCTTACGTGCCCAATTATTTTCGTCAGGCACTTTATTTGTGTATGGTACAATAATACCAATTTACTTTTTATGAAAACCTCTAGGATAAAAATAATACATCATAGTTTGAATCACATTTAATATTAAACAACAGCATCATTCAATAGTATTAAAATGTTCCAGAAAACCAAATTCAACATAGCTGTTAATGAGTCCTTCAATTTTATTTCTTACATGTTTCAAAGTACTTTCATTCATTTTTGTTTTGCCCATTAACGCAATGATTTCATCTAATCCGCCATTTTCTAACGATTCTATCATTTCTCCAGTTTCACTCCTATCTCTATCAGTCATGTTAATGTTCAACAAAACCGATCCAAATATATATTCACTGTATCTCTTTATGTCAGCATCTACTTGATTCCTTGGATAGATCAAGTCGGCTTTGAGACCAAAGTACGCCAACGATTTATTGGACTCGAAGTGGTAATAGTCCAACCAGTTGTAGAAGTGCTTAGATCTGGACTCATGATCAGTGCAATTAAAGATCAGATAGAGAAGATCCACCGATGGATTATTTGTTTTCGCCACTTGATAGTCAATTAAAATCGAGCGAACTGCTGCACCATCCTAAAAAGATATAAGTTTTGAATAAAAGTCACATATTTTATTTCCAAAATTAATCATTTTGAAGGTGCTACAGTACTTATAAAACTAATAAATGTTTAGCGTAACATTGAGAGCGAAACTAATCCACAAGATTGCAATTAATCGCTCCATAAATATTTGATTCAAATCAGTCATAAAAATAACTTACCTCTTGTTTGAACAAGATGTTGTTAACCCAAACATCACCATGTTGAATGACCAAATATTTAGGATCCTCTTCCTTGGCCAACTTAGGTGCAATATCTAATGTATTTGATATTTTATTTTTTAAGATTTTCCTGTGGGCTTCATTTTCAATAATTGTTGCAACAAAATCATCAAGACTTTTAAAGCTGTTTTTCAATTCTTCCGGACTAATGTTTGTCATATCTGGTAGCATATTTTTATAAAGGTCGTATGTTGCTGGTTCTTTGTTTCTTAATACGTGTGACAGAGAGTGGAAAATTGCCAAGGTTTTTAGAACACTTTTTATATTATTATCCTGCAAAGGTTCAAATTTATCCAACATAAAATAACCTGATTCTTTCAGATCTTCTAATATTATCACTTCATTCGGCGCTTCGTCTAGAGACCCGTAACATTTTGCAAATCTTAGATGTTCTTCTTCTGGTACTTTTGCTGCTTTCTGCAGTGACACAAGCTTAGGCAATATCTCTGTGTACATGATGTGCTCAACTTTGAACAAATATTCAGTGTATGATGACGCACGTACACTCTCATCGATAGGAGCTATTTTTGCAATCACCTTCATGCTTCCATTTTCACCTTCTAAGCTAATTCTTTTCACATCTGACATGAAGTTATCACCAGCTTGCGCAAATGAATGGAATATTACTCTTTTTATTTTTAAATTTTGTTCCAGAATCACTTTGTTAATAAACTGTAGTTGTCGTTCACTTATGTTCGAAATATCTCCTTCAAACTTAAACTCCGCCATTGCAGTTATTGCAGTAATCGTTAAGGACCAAATGAATGTAAGTTTGTATTTTTATTGTATTTATATATTGCATTATTATCTAGACGTTTTCGAAGACTTATTTATCTGTGTCCAGACGGTTCGTCATATTGATAGTAAATAACGTAGCAACTGATATTGTACTGTTGAACTAATAGTGATGGGCGTTGACTATCAAGTATAAGTCTTCAGTTTTAAGGTTTTTCAATGGCTTTTTAATGGAAATTTCTTCTCACATACAGCGCTGAACGCTGTATTTAAGTCGTTTTTCCCTGCAGACATCAATTTAATTATAGATATGTAAACATAAAATACCCAGGTGTATTTACTATGTTACTATCTCTTGAAAATTATAAGCGTCCAAATTTTTTTTTTTTTTTTTTTTTTTTTTTTTTTTTTTTTTACTATTTATCATACTATGAATCATAGGCATAGATGATGAAATCAAGCTATAGCTTTCATCATTTCAGATTGTTTTTGACCAAATGACCTACATTGTCGAATAGTCGAAAAATTTATATAGTTAAGTAAATCTACTGCTTTCTTTTTTTTTTAAAACGTTGCTCTTCACTAGGCATCTTGCATCGCGCATCGTGAGTGCGTTTACAAACGTACACAATATGACACTCAGACCCGAAACAGCAATTCGTGGATCACACACACAAAGAGTTGCTCCGTGCAGCCACAACTGTCAACCTTAACTTTAGCGGTCTTTGCAGTAATAGTCTGTATTTCACCTTGTTTGCTTTTTATCATTCATTGATCTCATATGTATCAAACACTTAATTTCATTGTAATGAAAATGAAAAATTTTCCATACCATTATTTGCAAAATCATGTAGAGTAAAGCATCTGAATTCAAAGGGTCTACATCGTATGAGGAGTCTTTAGTCAAATAATTATTTCATCCTTACTCATTTAGACAGATTTTTTAATTTCTTTTTAACCAGCGTTACTGTTGTCCTCTTAAATTGATATCTACATGCATCAGTAGTATTCTTAGGTCACAATTGTTTCTGTCACGTCTTGAGACCGTCTCATCTATTTTGAATTGACCCACTGCATCTAGTCTTGGTCTATCGCTCCTTAACGATATTATATCACTCACCTACTGCATTCTTCATTTTATTATTCATTGCAAGACTAGTAAAAATCGCAACCAATTAAGAAATCATCAGACCCTATGCCTTTTTTAACATTCGTGCAAGATATAACGCCAAAATGCAGATACGTGTATGATATTTCTGTCAGGCACTCTATTATTTTGAAATTATTATCATCAAAATTCTATTCTATAATATAATATAAGAAAATATTGGGACTGATGATGTGCTATTCACCTCACGATTATTGAAATGCCAACAGTTAACTATATGAAACTAGATAACTAGTCAAATATAATATTATTTTAAAGCTTAAGTTATTATTTTCTAACTTAACGCTGCAGATGCTGCATCAACTGTTGCTGTACATCGTGTAGTCTTTATAATCAAGAATTGGTAGGAACAGGAATTCAGAAATATCATATTTTTTTAAAGTTTGCCCCATACTTTTCTCCTGTGTCCTGTGGGTGCGTTTACAAACATACAAGTTCACATACACATGACACCTAGACAGTAATAACAATTTGTGTGTCACACAAAGATTTTCTCCGTGTGGGAATCGAACCCGCTGCACGGTGCGCGGCAGCGCTACAGTCAGCTAATTATGTATGTATGTGTACATACTAAATGAAATACGCTCTTTATCAGGCAGCAGGGAACAGGTAGCAAGTAGCGAGTTTTATTGTATGAGACACAGGCAGAGAGTAGGTAGTCACTTCATGAAAATACTGATATTTTGCAAAATATAGAACTAATCTAACTAATTGAAAAAGCATTTACTAGGAATATCTGTATTTATGTTTATGTAAAATACTGACTGAATGACTTCCTCGTTGGCCGAGTGGTCGCGAGTGCGATTGACGGGCAAGGGGTCTCGGGTTCGATTCCCGGGTCGGGCAAAGTATTACTGGGTTTTTAAAAAAAATCTCAGTAGTAGCACGGAGTCTGGAATTGTGCCCGGTATATGGCAATAGGCTCACCCCCTATTACATGGAACTCCTAACATAAATAGTGAAAAGTGGGTGTTACGTTGTACAGTGACATAATGTGCACCTCTGACTACCCCTACGGGGCTAAAAGGCGTGATGTTATGTTGTGTAAAATACTTAACATATTTTTAACCAGAATCGATATGATGCAACCACATTGATAATTTAGCACCTCAAAGGAAGGAGTACAATAAAATAAATGATTAAAAAATCTACATTACGTTCAAAGAAAATAAAAAGCCGGGTTTCAGGAAATCTGTTTTAATAATATACAATACTTATGCTAAAATAACTTTAACTGAGTGAGTATTTGAATGTAATGATCAATGATGGACATCATTAGCACCTAATGAGAATATTTATCTGGACGTAAGTATGATATAAATAGCTCGTAAGATCAGTAGGAAGAAGTTGCAATAACCAGTCACATACGTCGAAAAGCCTAGTTAAATCTTTCCAAATACTTCTCAATACAGTTAGTCAAAATTTTCAAAATGATCTAGCATACCAAAATCAGTATAGGTAGCAATTAGTCCTTCAATTCTATTTTTGGCACGTTTTAAAGTTTCTCCCGTCATTCTCGTGCTGCCCATTGTAGCCATTAATTCGCCAATCCCACTGTGTTCCATGTTGTTTATTAATTCCTTAGTTTCATTGACATCCCTTTCTGTTAGATTACTGGCCATTAAAGCTATACTAAACACCAATTCACCATATTTCTTTACGTCAGCATCTAATTGGTCTCTTGGGTAAATATCGTTAGCTCTCAGACCAAAGTACGATAAGGATTTGTCGAACTCGGAGTGGTAATAGTCCAACCAGTTGTAGAAGTGCTTAGATCTGGTCTCATAGTCAGTGCAGAGGAATATGAAATAGAGTAAATCCATCATCGGGTTATTTTTTCTAGAAGCCTGATAATCAATCATAACTGCAGGGCCCACTCTACTATCCTGAGAGAAAATATAAATTATGAATAAAACATTGACCAACTAAAAAAATAATTTGATATTCATATACGAGGAAAGAGAAATCAAAGAAAGAAAGTTAAAATCAAACATAAACACTTACCACATGTTTGAACAAGATATTATTCGTCCAAGAATCACCATGCTGAATGACAGAATATTTAGTATTCTCTTCCTTTGCTAATTTGGCAGTGATTTTAAACATATTTGATATTCTATTTTTAACGACCTTCTTGTGAGTTTCGTCCTCAACAATTGATTGAACAGCGTCATCGAGTCCTGCAAAACTCTTTATATATTCCGGTGAACTACACATCAAATCCCAAGCATGTCTCAATTTACTGCCAAGTTCGTTGAATGTCTCTGGTTCTTTGTTCTTTAATACGTGCGACAAAGAATGAAAAATTGCAAAGCTTTTCGTACCATTCAAAATAGCATCATGTTGCAATGGTTCGTACTTATCCAACATTATGTGGCCTGATTCTTTCAGATCTTCCAAAATTATCACTTCGTTTGGTGCTTCATTCAGAGATCCGTAACATTTTGCGTATCTTAGATGTTCTTCTTCTGGTACTCCTGCTGCTTTCTGTAGTGACACTAACCTAGGTAGCACTTCTGTATACATAATATGTTCATTATGAAATAAATAATCAGTCAACCCTGACTTACGCACTGTTTCGTCAGTAGGAGCTATTTTTACTATCATCTTCATGCTTCCATCTTCTCCTTCTATGCTGATTCTCTTCACATTTGCTACAAAATTATCCCCAACTTGTCCAAATGAGTTAAAAATTATTTTTTTTACTTTTATGTTTTGTTCTAAAGCTACTTTGTTGATATATTGTAGTTGACGTTTACTTATATTATCGAAATCTCCTTCAAAATTATATTGTGCCATTGTGTTGCTTCAATATCAGAATTAATAATTATGATAAGTATTAATAACTAAGTGATTTCTTTTTATATAATTTAGATTATCTAATCTAAATATCTTAATGTCCGCCACGCGTATACACACACAAAAATTTGATGTCTCTCATCACAGTATAAATAGCGAGAAATTCCGTCTTAGTACTCCCAAAATTAACTCATTCTGACAAAATTCTATGAGAAATATGAATATGAACGAAATAAATTTTAAATAGTGTACTTAAGAATAAAATGCGTCGATCGAATAATCGAAAGATGTTTATTTGTCCAGGATTATCACACTAATATTATAAATGTAAAAATTTCTCTTGTATGGATGTTTTTCCGAAAATCACGCTGAAACTACTGAACGGATTTTGATGAAATTTGGTATACAGACTGGGTATGGGCTGACTTAGGTAATATGATACTTTTTATCCCGATTAAATGCTCCCATGGTATAAAATAGGAATCATATTCTACGTGGACAAAGCCGTGGGCCACAGCTAGTAAATAAACGGACTTATCCTATCGAAGATATAACCAATCATAGGAACAGAAAAATAATTAATATTGTCTTGGTTTAGATAAATAATTTTGTAAACTCATTATTATTATAGTTATTGTAAAATATTCATACAGATATAAAGGATATTAAAGAAAATAATTAATAAATAATCATCGTGACCAAGCAATTGTTTAGGAAAAAACCTTACAAAATACCTAATGACTACATTATGAAATTTAAATAGGTAATTTTCAATGTAATGATATTTTTTGGTCTAAGGAGAAGCAACGTAAAAGTTGTGAAATTAAGAAACCAACTGTGTAATTTTTATTCTGGACTATCAAGAATAAAAACCATTATTCAATCAAAATTAACATAACATCACGCCTTTTATCCCCGAAGAGGTAGGCAGAGGTGCACATTACGGCACTTTATGCCACTGTACAATGTAACACCCATTTTTCACTACTCATGTTATAAGTCCCATGTAATAGGGGGTGAGCCTATTGCCATATACCGGGCATAATTCCACATTCCGTGCTACATCTGAGATTTTTTTCAAACCCGTAGTACTATGTCCGGCCCGGGAATCGAACACGAGAACCCCTGCCTGGCAGTCAGTGCGACCACTCGGCCAACGAGGCAGTCCTGGCTAAGCCAGGCAGGCAAACAGGATTAATAATCACAATATATGTGTTTTATTATTAACTAGCGACCCGCCCCGGCTTCGCACGGGTGCAATATGCATGTTTTATACATACAAACCTTCCTTAAGAATCACTCTATCTATTAAAAAAAACCGCATCAAAATCCGTTGCGTAGTTTTAAAGATCTAAGCATACATACGGACATACAGCGAAAGCGACTTTGTTTTATACTATGTATTGATGAATTTTCGTGAAATCCAAAAAATAGACCCCCATCTATGCTATAGCCACCCGGTATTCAAATTCTTATACTTATTAAATTAATGAGGCAGTATATAGTATAGTATGTATCCAACCAAAAACATTCTGTAAAAAATAGCCAAGTCTTGACAGAGCTACTTGTTCATCTGCAAAAAGAAATGAAATCTAGACAAAGACGTGTAAGGTTCCTTACTGTGTTTTTTTTTACTATAGTTGATGTAGTTTGATTTGGTCGATGAACCGCTTCTACCGAAGATGGAAAATTTCCACTAGGAAAAAAATTATTGTTAACAGCCGCTCTGGCTACAGCTAATAATCTATAGAAGTAAAGGTTATCAAAGAAAATAATTAATAAATTATCATTCTGACTAAACAATTGTTTAAGGCAGCATGTAACAAAATACCTAATGACTAAATTATGAATTTCCAATGTAATCTAATTTTTGGGCCTAAAGAGAAACAACGTCAAAGTCGTGAAATTGAGAAACGTAACTGTTTAATTTTTATTCTGGTTGTCAAGAATAAAAACCATTATTTAAACTTATTTAGTAATCATAGTTATGTGTTCAATTATATTAATTAATTATTAATGAATTTTCGTGAAATCGAAAATACACCCCATCTACGCTATAGCCACCCGGCGCTCAAATTCAAATTATTTTACTTATTCAATGCAGTATATAGTATTATATTTTTCGTATCTAAAAAGAAATGAAATCTAGACAAAGTCGTGTAAGGTTTCTTACTGCGATTTATTTATTACTAGTTTTTACCCGCGGCTTCGCTCGCGTCACAAAAGGATAAACAGTAGCCTATGTGATATATACCAATACACACGGCGCCATCTATACCAATAATTTCATTTTCCCTCTAGAATATCAATTTTTCCGGGATAAAAAGTACCCCATTATTTAATCCAGACTTATAACTTTACGTCTGCAAAAATTCAAAGCAATCGGTTTAGTAGTTTCGGCATGAAAGCGGAACAAACAAACAAACTCACTTTCTGATTTATAATATTAGTAAGGATATTTAATGTTGTGTGATTTGGTTGATGAACCGATTCTATCGAAGATAGAAAATTGCCGTGAGGAAAAATTTGATTGTTAACAGCCGCTTTGGCGACAGATTGGTGCAATGGTGTCTTGCACCTGGTTCTGCACCCATCAACGGTCAAGTCACACAACATTATATTAGTAACAATAATGTCGACGAATGCTGCTAGCTAGCTGGGGAACACAGACAAGAGACCCTAGTTGTCGTATTGTCGCGTGCAGTTTTACTTAGTGGATTCGAAGTTTTTAGATGCGCTTTGGGTATACACAACATCACGCCTTTTATCCTCGAAGGGGTAGGCAGAGGTGCACATTATACCACTGTACAATGTAACACCCACTTTCCACTATTTATGTTATGAGTCTCATGTAATAGGGGGTAAGCCTATCGCCATATACCGGGCACAGTTCCAGACTCCGTGCTACTACTGAGAATTTTTAAACACCCAGTAATACTTTGCCCGACCCGAGAATCGACCCCGAGACCCCTTGCCCGGCAATCGCACTTGCGACCACTCGGCCAACGAGGCCGAGTGTACAGTGGCATAATGTGCACCTCTGCCTACCTCTTCGGGGATAAAAGGCGTGATGTTATGTTATGTATGCATCAAGTCATATAGTTTTTAAATTACAATGACTTATGTACCCTGTGCCAGTCGCCGACTGCCTAATAGGTAGCTACGAAACCAGTCAATCACTGATACATATGTTAAAAGTACTAAGCACGCCAAGGAAAATGTCGGAGTCAACGGTATTAAATGCGTTACTAAAATCGAGCAGGACAAGTACCGTCAACTTCCCCATCTCCATGCCCGACCTAATGTCATCGGTAATATTTACGAGAGCCGTGGTAGTTTGTTCGTTAAAAAGTGATATTTTTTTCCAAACTAAACCAGTTGGTCTATAATTTATGATTCCATAATACTGGAGCACTATTCAGGATATCAATATACATAATACGTAAGCAAAAACACATAAGTCGGCAGTCGGCGACTGGCACAGGGTACATAAGTCATTGTAATTTAAAAACTATATGACTTGATGCATACATAACATAACATCACGCCTTTTATCCCCGAAGAGGTAGGCAGAGGTGCACATTATGCCACTGTACACTCGG